GATAGGAAGGGAAAAACCTGAAATATATGAGTTTTTGTTGCCCATCCCCTTTTCAGAGTAGGTATGTGTTGTTTTATAGTGTAAATAACAAGTTTTAATATTGCAATCAAACTGACAGGGTAGTTGCCATGACCATGGTAATAAAAATATTTCTATGGCTCGGCATTTATATTGGGCAATTTTTTATCATTCATCACAAAATTATACCTGCACCCTAGGTGGTTCCCTGCAGGGGGTCATAACCAGGGGGAAGCTGATGAAAATGAATTCTGGTATTGGTGGCTGAATTTATTAAAAATATTTATATGGTCTCCCAATCTGGAATTCATACTTTGTAACATTTGGATCAAAAGGTTTATGACGTTTTCTTGGACAGAATCCAATTCATCCAACCTCGTACAGAGCTTCGTTGAATTACTGTGTGGACAAGATTAAAGAAGGGATTGCCAATTTGGCATATTGTACTAATCAATAAATTAAAATCATTAAATACTTTATGCTACAATTAGCTGTAATATTATACTATGTATTATTGTGTTTCATATGACGTCATAAATTTGACGGGGGGTCAACTCCAAATCGAGATACAGTCATCAGAGTGAATTAATTTTTCACTGTATGTGTTGGCCTTGTGTTTGGTGGCAAATACATGCAATTTCATATCATTTGCTCACTCCAGTACAGCATAAGCATCAATACATTTTAGGTTGACCTCCCGTCAGAACGTGCAAAATGCCATAGTGAAATCCAAGAATTCATTATGTGTATTAGATGTATGCAGCCTAGAATACAAGTTCAATATCACTACATGTGAAATTGTGGTTTATTTAGAGAATAAAGATTTTTTGAACTCTTCTTAGTCTTCTATAAATAAATTATAACAGCAAAATATTCACATGCACCCATATAGGGAAGGGTTACATGCTACAAGTTAAAATGAGTATTACATACTCCTGCACTTGAAAAGTTTACAGTACAGTATATACATTAAATAATAAAATATATAACAGTAAATCCCAAGATTGGATTTATTGAAACTAGTCATTAGCTAGTTCTTCGCAATTAAATAAACACAAAGACAAATTAATAAAAGTTATTAATCATTTCTGACACAAATAGTATTTGCAAAATATAGCACATATTTGATATTATAGTCAAATAGTACAGTGTACTGACAGTACTGTATACTATGTATAGATTAAAACTACAGAAAACCTGTACAACACAAATATGAGTAAAGTTTTCACGCTCCATTTAACTGTTGTGATATTATACGCATTAAGTATACGTTTCTTTGCAGTTCCTCTGTAGTACTAGTATACAGCACAGCTCTGAAAAACCAAAACAATATTCGTACACTCCTAAACGGCCGCCATGTTGTATTTAAAAATATACGGTTAAAAATTAATTTTTGCAAAATTGCAACATTCCATTGTACACCAGCAACCAATCATATTCATTTCTGAGATGGATTATCCCAGAGCCTTCGTTTCCTCAACCTCGTACCCAGGGCCTTTGCGCGGTTCGGCGGCTCTGGTACGGGAAGCAAAGGCCCTGGTAAACACTGGTCATGTGACTCCAAAAATATTGGACATTTCGTAATAATTTAGTTTTCAATCCGGGGGGAGCGGATCCGATTGATTTTATCAAACATGGCAGCGCGAAGGCGCGATGTTTTCGAGTTTTCATATTATTATGATAAATAAAACTTTCCTAGTGAGATTTAAGAGTGGGTATATATTATCTATGCATTCTACGAGCTTTCTTTCAACAAATTGTGGAATAGCTAACGGTAATACTTATCAAAGATCGAAGGACGAAGATCAAACTGAGAGAAAACTAGTCGAGTGATCTGTCTTTAAACTGTCTATTTTGTATCCAATGCAGCTGCTTGTGTGCGACGTTTTATAAAGAATTAAATAAACATTGTTGATTATAAGTAATTTTTATGTATTGACCAAAGAATATCACTTGGGATTTTATTGTACTTTTTATATGGAAGGATAAATCAGAGGGGACATCTATGGAAACGAAATTCTTCATGTGTATTAAACATGTAGTTATCAAAGCAGAATATTTTGAAACAATTAACTGGTCGAGTGACAGGTTGGTTTCCGTATGTATGTAGTTTAAAATACAGTTGTGAATGAAATTATACACAGTATCTTGAAACCTTTGTGTGTGTGAGTTAATTTCATATTTATTTTTTTGGGATGTATCATCTATATTTCTGTTTGTCTGGGAGGGGGGGGGGGTACCAATCCTGAATCATGAGAAATAATATACAGTGATCTTGAAACAACAAATTTACTATGAATCTTATATCAGTGATATGTGACTTAGGAGTCTTAAAGGCAAATAACAGTCTGTATACTGGGTGTGCGTTCACCTATTTGTTTACATTTGCAGTTACTGTACATCGGTTCATGATTTATGAAATTTGAACCAAAGCTGTAACATAATATTAGTCACGGCACAAGTCACTAATAATTTTAGGGTAAATTTTTTTCTGAAATACTTCATTTGTCAGTTGCATCTTATAGTATATACTGTAATATCTTGAAAAAAAGCTGTAATTGTACCCTGTCTAATAGCTTTGGTTCAATACAATTGGCAACTGGGCTGTCTTAGAATTCATGAAAGACCTTTGCTACAACCCCAAGAAAACATGCCTTTTATCAGGAGATCAATTAAATTCTCTGCTTCAACCAGATTAACCACACAAATGTTATTGTCACCATTGTGACTACCGAGACTTTTTACAAATAATACACTGATAGTTGAGCACCGAGACTCTGACTGACATATCATACTTTGTTTTCAAATATCTTTGGCTTTGGTTAAAAACCAACAATTATACATTCTTAAACATTTTAAATACTTCAGCCTACATAATTTCCATAATGATGGTCAATTATTCCACTTACTGAGAATACTATAATTACTTCTTTACCGTAAAAATTCTTTTGGGTTTAATTGAAGTATTATTATTCACAGCTGGTCTAAAAAATTGGGTGCTCTGATGCATCATACTTTTGTCAGTAAAATTAAAAACCTATTTAGTCCTATCCGGCTATGCAGAGTTTTATTTGTATTGAGGAGGTAGGGCTTCTAAGAGAGACACAGAGGCTTAATGAATATGGTTACACTGAATTTTATCAGTAAGTAAATTTCATTTTTTACATCTTGAAACCAAAAATCACCATATTATGCATGAATTACATATCACTTTCACTTGTCACAGAGTGAACATACCAAATTCAAACAACATTCACACTGTTTCTAGATGAAATAAACAACCGATTTTTTGGCCAAACAATATAATTCATGAGGGGAAAAAATAAATATTTATATGTGTGCACATAGTTTCAAGATCAGCTAACAGGATTGAAACCAGCTTTCCCAGTTATGCTTGGAGCTGATGAGAACAGTTAGTTTTGAACACAAAATGGCATGGGACTTAATTCATCTAGGTGGCAATATATTGCCTTCTCACCAGCACAATTGATCAAGTCATACACATTCATTACTGCCAATCTCTTTATTATTTATGTCTCATTACAAATACAATATATTTTCATTATCAGCAGTATCCTTACAACTTGCATGTGCATCACCAATATCATCACAACTTGTATTTCACTACCTAATCATCATCATTATTCTCTCCATTCTAATTTTATCAGTCAATCAGAATGAATAAAAAATTTCCTATTTTACACCACTCATATTATCATATATTACTTAATTGTCCAAGGTCAGGGCCATTTCACATCACTCCAGGATCTAAATACCCTGCAATCACCTTTTCGACATAATACTAAAAGAGAAACAAATGTCTTACTGGCACACTGGAATATCATAATTGCCATAAAATAACTGTCATTTGAAACCACATTCTGCTGTAACAGCACAACTGCTCAAGGTTGCAAGGTAAATAATTGGGATGTAGTAAGGCCAGTATTACTGGTAATTGTCTTTTTACATTTTGCTCACAACCAAAGTCCAATTATATGGAGCAAAAGTTAGAATATCCAGCCACTTTTTATTACTCACTTAACCTTACACTTGACAAGTAAAATTGTCTGGTGATGGACAGAGAAAAATAACAAAGTATGCCATATTTGATTATCCCATATTCCCATTACTATAGTGTGACCACACAAGACTCTCCTTAATTGGATGGGTAAAATTGGGGGCTATGGAGATTTAATGGCAAGAAGTGGGGGAAACATTTTCTCCAGTAAAATTTATGGGGGCCATTGGAAATTTATGGGGGGCATTGGAATTTTATGGGGGCCATTGGAATCATCAACCAGAGTATTGAGGCGATAAAGAAAAGAATACCCGACTGTAAAATTAATGTAATCTAACTTTCTTGTCACACAAAGTTAGGTAACGTTGGCATTTTCACACTTTTCTATTATTATCGTACTATTCTGTTGAGTATTTATTGGATGAGTCAGAGACCAATGGATTGGTATGAGGGCAGTTAATTTGCAATTTTTGCATGTATTCATTTATTAACTTTTGACTATTGTAATGGTCAGCCAGTTAAATAAGTATTTTACTGAGGGTACTGCCTAATGATTTTACATGCCAAAGATAACTCCAGTTATGAAAGATTGAATATTTTCTGAGCAAGCTGGAACAGAAAATTTTGATTTTAGTGAATATTTACTAAGTGAAGGATGGAGATAACCAAAATATATATATATATATATATATATATATATATATATATATATATATATATATATATATATATATATATATATATATATATATATATATATATTTCGCTTACCTCAAAATTCCGCAACAGTCTGTTTCATCAGTAAAGAATCATCAGGCGGTATTAGTCCGTATGTTGTGACCTCGAAAAGTGGCTAGAAAAAGATTTTCATTAAGCATGTCTTAGATCTGAAATATTTTTACGGGAACTAACACTTTCGAACACGCTGATTTCAAATCCGAAAAGTTCCCACTCCGTAGACCCGCAGTTTTTTCACAAAATGCTATTTTATCTTCACTAATTTCACAACAAATTTTTTCATTGTTCAACGACACGGATCGATGACGATACACGATTATGTCACTCAAAAGGACCAATTTCTATTAACCATTCTTCCTTTAAACAAAAGACCGGTTTTGCTCGAATCATTCTGAGTTATGCAATCTTATGCGTGTTGGACGTAAACAACATATCTTGTCTACAACTTTGGGAAGGTACAGATAATTCCTTCTAAAATCCTTAGTTCTGGATCTATCTCTATAAAATCACAAGGACGTTAATGTCAAGTCTTTGTGCTATGTCTCTGGGATGAGAAATAATTCCTTACATGCGATCAAAATGTTTTATACAAAGATATAAAACGGTAATCAATATGTAATGGATCAGCATTGAAATTTCCAACACGGTTTCCAAGACGTAATTCAAGAGATAACTTATCATTGCATTTGAACTATTACATGAGTTGGTGTTATACTGTGCGATAAGCGAGTATTATTGGAAAGAGGGCATCTGTATACGTCGAAATCATCAAATAAACAGCTCATGTACACATTTCTCCACTTCGCGGTAAGTTTACAGAGCATATTTTATACTTTGTGACTGATCTTTGTCTTTGATGTGAACATTTATTCTTATAGTTTAAGGTTATTTAAGATTGATGCTGTCGTAAGTCTTCTACCTGCAACCATTCGACAATATTTCGTTTTAGCGTTGTCTTTGCCGTTACGTTGGCTTCGCGTTACTTTTGTTTTAAATATCTTGATCGCGTTAAAAGAGTTATTTTTCAGGCCAGTGACATAGCTAAAAGACTTGATATTAATGTCCTTGTGATTTTATAGAGATATCTCTAGAACTGAGGATTTTAGAAAGCGTTATCTGTACCTTCTCAAAGTTGTAGACAAGATATGTTGTTTACGTTCAACACGCATAAGATTGCATAACTCAAAATGATTCGAGCAAAACCGATCTTTTGTTAGAAGGAAGAATGTTTAATAGAAATTGGTCCTTTTGAGTGACATAATCGTGTATCGTCATCGATCCGTATCGTCGAACAATGAAAAAAATTGTTGTGAAATTAGTGAAGATGAAATAGCATTTTGTGAAAAAACTGCGGGTCTACGGAGTGGGAACTTTTCGGATTTGAACTCAGCGTGTTCGAAAGTGTTAGTTCCCGCAAAAATATTTCAGATCTAAGACATGCTTAATGAAAGTGAACGATATCGGGTCACAACACACGGACTATATGGGGTCCTCTGAAAGTCAGTGAATGTCGGAAAGTCAGTGAATGTTGGGACTACGCGCAAGCTGGACGAAACACCTCTTCATATACCCAAGGTCAATTTTGCTTAATCGAGCTGATTTAAGTGGCTTTGCCAGTTTTAATTTTTATAGGACAATCTTAAGAGGATTTGCTGTATAGAAGAGCCGTGGTTAGCTTTTGCCAAACTTGCCAAAGACACTTATACTTTATCTGTCATTACAATCTTAAGCAAGCATAAGTACTTTTTCAGTCTGACCGCGACGTGCTTGCTTAACATTCCAGCACTTGCTTGAATGACGTCACAAGCAAGCACGCTAATCCTTTGCTAATCTGCAAGCACAAGCGCTAGTGTGACCGCGACCTAATAATCAGACATTCTCGGCTTTCTCTTGATATAGGAACAAACCTAAATCCCTAATTACGTATAATTAATTATTTAATTATCACCACTAATTCCTATACCCTTAATTAAAACCTGATTCGTTTAACCTTACCTCAGTATAGACAAACCCAAAATGTGACCTTTAAAATAAAAATACCAGTCTGTATTTAATTACATCTAATCATAATGTTTTTTTGAATGAAAGGAAATTGAGGATATATGAAAAAAAACCTGTTGTGGTTTAGGGCGGACTACTCGGAAAATTCGAGGGGGTTCAGTTTATGCAATGTTCTAAAAATAAAACGGTTTTGGTTTTGAACTGGCCGAAAAAGTTAAGTAAACATGCATCGAGCCAAGCCTAGAAGGCAGAAGTCACTATATGCTACTCATTTCCTTAGATATATACTGCCAGATAGTTGTTGTAGAGCATTCAATCTAGACTGGACTAAGTTTTGAGAATCGATTAAAATTATGTTATTATTGACACGTTTTATAATAACGAAAATTAACGAGGGCAACAATTAAGTCTCGTATATTGTATATTGCAATTTTTCAGTTAAAAACAAGAATCGCCAAATTATAGAAGCCATGAGCATAAACGTCGAAGATCCAACAGTTGGCATATCCAAATATACATTAAGCAACCAACTAACTGGTATAGACTATAGTTCTAATATTTTTCATGTACAGGAAATTTATATATACAGCTAATTCTAAACCTTAAAATTTAAACTCTGAGCGTGCAAAGCATAATGGGAGAATAATTTAATCAATGATTTATATATACATATATATATATATATACCATGGCAACCGATGGCAAGGCAAATTGCGTAAACGTCGTAGAGGGACACTGTTTATCTACTCATTGTGCATAGCCTGTAAGCCAATGCCAAGGGTTGCTCTCACGGGTACACAGATAGGATTTCACCACCATTTGCATTGACGTAACGATGACTAATTAATTTAAGACACCCTTGACACAAACACGGAACTTTAGCATGCCATGTTTTGATCTTGATAGTTTTCCTGTTTTCGTCACTGAGACGTAACGACGTATTGTCATACACTCATTTGCATCAAATCAATCGCATCAATAGCGCGCTCTTATTTAATTCCACCGTCATTTCGTGTGCGGAGTTCACAAATGTAATTGGGCCGCGGAGAAGGCAAGTCATTTGGCAGAGTACGGCACAGAAGTAACATCTAAGGAATATTTGAGGTTAGTATAACATAATCTGGGACATATATACGTATGCTATTTCATTGATATATATATAACATTGTTAGTTTGGATTTAAATATATAGGAAGTTTTCTTAAATAGATATAGGTAGTTTATCACCATTGTGCATTGGTCGAATTTGTGGTAGCAAGTTATCTAAGTGTTTATATGTTGCAATAGTCGGTTAACCCCTACTGTTTAGTTCTGCCCTAGGCGAGCAAAATTATTTGAAATCAACTCAAACTGTGTTTCACAGGGAGCCAGATTTAGACCAAGCTATATTTAACTTTCTGTAAACCCATGCAGTCGTCAAATTGCCTTGAAATTAACTAGGCTATTTGTTTGGTTAGATTTGTAGTCTCATTCTGGTAAAATGTTGAATGGGAATGGTAACATGCATGCACTATAGAATTTCCTTGGGCTGGGAGAGCCTGGTTCATACCCCTTGCATGACACTGTCCCCGCTATATTAAGGCGAGACAATCTCCACAGACTATGCTTGTTTATATATGCTGAATAAAGTGCCTTACTTGCCTTAGCCCTTACCCTATAATTATAGTTTTGAATTCAACTTTGAGCAGTAAAATATTGAACCAACAATGGCGTTCAATTAGTGTATGAAGAAATTGACAAACTTACAGTATAAAGTTTGCAAAAGGCGATGGTTCTCAAAGTAACAGAAACAAGCCCTAGAAGTTATATTTGGTACTGATATTCGCCGACCATTTGTAATTATGTACATAATTATTAATGCTGATCGAGCCAAAGAGGTGCATGGGCTGCAAAATATCAAGCACTGAGTTGACACTCGATTCGCTTATTGTTTAAACACTATGAAGAGTTGGCTCCCCGTGATAAATCAGCACAACCTCTTGGGAAACTAAGAAGACGTGAACTTTACTGATAACGAAGCGTAGGCCATGATATAAAATATGCGTGAGTGGGCTGAGTGATTAAAAATATGATTAAGCTAGCCAGTCACTATATGCTGCCGTCTACTTAACACTATTCCCCCAGACTGTAGTTAGATCTATGGTTAGATCTATTTCTGCATTGCTCTTGAGTCATTTAGTAATAATTAGAACCTCCTGTTGGGGGGGAAACAATGGCACAAAAGATTAAACTACTGGAAACAAATACAAGTACTCAAGTTACTCACCAGCTTTGTCAAATCATCAAATGAGACGGTCCAATGATCACCACACTAAACATGCACTAACTCACTTATGAGTTTAATTATTTCATTTTTCTGGACCTGATTTAACTGCCTAAGTGTGATGTTGACTGTCAATTCAAATACCAATTAATATCACTAACATTTGTATAAGAACCCACTAAATACCAAGTCAGGGTGAATAGGTTCTACAGGGTGTCTCAAAAAAACCCAAAATCATTGAAATAACGTATTGTTCGAATTTCAATGCCGTAACACAAAGGATTTTGACAGGGTGATTAATTTGTTTTAAAAAATTAAAATATCTTTGTAAAGTGAACGTTTGTTTGCTCATGTGAATTTAAAAATGCTTCGTAAATTGTAATATGCGTAATATGCATTCGTGGGTTTAGTACTTTATGCCTGACATAACAAGTTTACGCTGAGTATTACCATCATTATAGCAGTTATGTCAATCTTTTATGCACTCGTGGGATTAACTTAGTGCTAGGGCATTGAATATCGAACAATACGTCAATTTCAATGATTTTGGGTTTTTTTGAGACACCCTGTAGATTAGAACGGATTAGAATATTAAGTTGTATTTCATGACTCTAATCGGCCTGCAGTCTATAAAATCAGTAACAGTATACAGCCTTTTCTAAACTTCAGGCTGAATTGGTTCTGATAAAAATTGGTGTCTAAATAGCAAATTTCAGGCTGCATGTAGGTTCTTAATCTGCGGGATTTTACTATATATTTGGCTTTATTGGCTTTAGCTTTTTTGAAGTTGGGTTAAGTAAATATCAAATCAAGGTTGCCTCTTTCATTTTGCCTCTACAGTGGCTGCCAGAATACTACTCAACTAACGTTGGATTACCACTGGCTTCAAAAACACCTGGACGAACTTCGTTATGGAACAGAAAAAGATCAAGCGACGAATTCAAGCTTATCTGTGGGAGTTCCTTGTTGGTCTCCTAGAGGACGAAGAATGCGCGCCATTTATAAATTGGACTAATAAATTTGAGAAAGAGTTCGTGGTAGCCGACCCTGACGAGGTAGCCAGTCTTTGGGGTCTGTTGAAAAATCGACCGAAAATGAATAAAACGAAGCTGAGAAGAGCTATAAGACAGTATTACAAACGAGATCTAATCATGAAGGTAGGAGTGTTTTTGTGTTTGTGTTCTGTACTTTAATTGTATTCATGAGCGCCTGACCAGCCGTGACGAACGCGGGAGATGAGGGGTTATTTGCATATATTTTAATTGCGGGTCAGTGTAATATTTTATACAATAAAAACTTTCATTGCTCAATAGTTATTAGAGCATTAGTCTTTTACCTTCGCTTCAAAAGGGTTGGATTTCTATGAAGCTTCAGCCTTCAGTTAAATGTGAGAGGAATGTTTCGGATCGACTAGTTTTTCTCCAGTAGCGACACAGCTGAACCAATCCGGGATGTTTTACAGGAACATCTAGGGAGAACAACCTAGAAGTGATAGAGCTATTTCATGTATTTTTGGTGCATAAGTTAATCATCTATTTATCCGATTTACTGCATACAAGATAACAAGAAGTTTGTGAAGTCGTCACCATGTCTGAAGTTGCGTGTTTCAAGTGCTTTTACATATTAAACTCAGTTACTTTTTCCCCTGCTAAAATTCTATCTTTATCGCTGTCACTTTGTATGAATGTTCCATATTTATATAAACTCCAAAATTAACTTAAAAAACTGATCCATATACTGTATTCAAAAAGGTGAATTTAAGTCTTCCATAAGAAATTTCGTGAGCTAAGGGTGTAAATTTAAATAATGCCCGGAACTTTAAATCATCAGGTGCAAGGGTTAACTCAAGAAGAACGATTTTTCTAATCCTGAGGATAGATGGCTTGAATTAAGATAACTCAAACTTTGTTAAAAATCGATTTCTGTCTTCTTATGCAATAGAACTTTCAAGGAACGTTTTATCGCACAGTCATGCATGCACCCAAAGCCGACTCTCTTTGTCCAATTAGAAGCACGCATGCAAGCGTATCAGAATAATGTCCGGCCAAAACTTAACAAGTATTTTGTCTTTGTCGATCAGCGTAGTAGAAATATTAGCATTTTCAGGATGGTACTGTACTGTAGTCAAATTATAGCTACCATTATATGCATTTTATAATGTTGAATTCCTATTTTCATCAATTGTGCAATGATTTATTATAGTTCCACAATCAGATAGGCTAGCTAAAAGGTCTAAGGATTTGACTAAGTCTAAATTAATTAAAAAGGAAGTTTTAGATGTGTGGCGGTATATAAGATTAATGGCACTGCAATTAAATTTCCGAAACGATATTGTAGAATTGATGTACATATATAAATAACCAGGACAACTTTTCTTTGTTTTGGAGTGCCAGGAATTATATATTAGCTGACTGACTGATTTAACACACAATGAAATTTTAAGTAATTGCTATACAAGCGTTCAGGCGATATCTTATATCACGTTGAATTACGCAGAGGAAAAACACTAGCTGATAAAATGCATAAATGCAACAATGAATTTGAACAGTGGTAGTGCATGAGTAGCTGTTCCCTCTGTGATTCGAATTATTCCAGAATATTCCCAATTACAACAGTCCGCAGTTCAACTCTATTTTCTTCGGGTATAACTGTTACGGCACTATAAGGAGAACAGATTTGACTGAGTTGACACAGTTAACCTTGTAAATGGTACATGAATTCACATTATGAAATATTTTATTAGATCTACACCGCTTGCTCCACGAGTGTCAAGGCAACCCACTAAAAAACGACACGTCTGAACAGTGTATATTAAATTTGAGTATTTATACATGTATGTTGACACTTTTGTCACCAAAACGGTATTAACCTTGAACTGGTCTGCCGTTGGCGACGTCATGAACCCAATTAAGCAATATTCTATACTAAATATAACCATGCATATACGTGACTTTGTGAGCAAGGTTAACTATACCCTGGGAACTGTATTTTGCAAAATTTAGCGGATTGATTATGTCGTGACAGTTCAAATCAGAAACGGTGATGAAATTTAAATAATTAAAAATTGATAAAAATTCACATTATGCATCTAAGTTGTAAGGTATAATTTCCCCGTACTTCTTTAATGTATACACCTCCTGGAAAAGGTAAAGGATTTTGCATGGGCTAAATCTACTTAAAGTTATAGAAATATGGGAGAGCATAAACTTCGCCTTGTATAAAATAGATAAAAGGGCCATGCCCTTTCATGCAGAGAATCTCAAGTGCCTCTTAATTATTTATTCAAAAAGGAAACGTCTTTATTAATAAAATGGTAAAAGAACCCTTTTATTCAGAAAAGTTTAATTAGACAACCGGCTTGTTTGACCACCTCGATTATAGGTTCATTACGGAACGATGGTGCAAAAATAAATGTTGATTAGCTTGTTATCCCAGTAAAAATAAGTCTTTCAAAACACGCTTTACACACGTATGAATGATGTAGGTTTTATTTACACTTCAAATTGGATTGGGATTCTTTCACTACAATAGATAATATATAGTCTGGCTCTAGGATGTCTGGTTAAGTCATCTAGCGTTGCTCATTAGGCAAAATGATGGCCTAAAAGTATTGACTAGCCAGGGAAAATAATGAAGTCTATAATTAAGGTGTGCCAACACCTTACAACATGTAGCCATAGATCTTCTAATACTCTGTCAATATATAATTATAACATTTATTGAGTGTTCTACTATATACTATTATACTAATGCACTAGTCAATCGAAAGCCCGGCCCCCCGACCCCCGGGACTATGCGGGGATTTTAACATTTCACGGTTGTTAAAATCCCGGCTAAAAAATCTTGTTCAATTGTTAAAATCCCCGGGTTACTGCATGGCCTGGGCCTAAACATTTGGGTGTTTTTTTATTCAAATTTCCGCAGTTTGATAAAAAACCTAACATTAATATTTTCATTAAAACTCCAAAGTTAATACTTTACCTGGTTCGTTCTTTAAAAATTTCGTAGCATATTATAAAATTAATACAGGAGAATGGTTCAAATGAAGCCAATGGTTGTCAGATGCTTTATTATATTCACTTTTGAATTTGCTTTTATCGTAAACAAACTAATTATAAACAAAGGCCAATATATATCTGTAACAATATGAAAAGCCAGGGTCGGGGAACGAAATTGACCGAAAGGAATAATAAAAAAATGTTGTTTGGTGAAACTTATATACCGTAAGATCACAGCAAACGGGTGTATATAATAGGGAATAAATTTGTCTTGAAAGTAATTCGTTCGGGTATAGAATAACGTTATAACGAAGAGTTAGTACACTTAATTAAAATCAAAGTAGCAAAACATGTATTGTTAATAATTCGCCTGTGAGGCAAGAATTTTTAAAATTATATCAGAAAAAAAGCGGCTGACAGTTTAGTTTTTAATGTTGTACGCCCACAGCTTTTGCATGAACAATGTCAATGTCCACAATTGTCTTTGTCCTTTACTGTAGAACACAGGAACACACAAAAAGTGTAAATAACGATACCATTGACGTCGTATAGTGTCACAAAATATTTACTTGTTCATCATTTTGGTATATGGACTTCCTGTGGGAATGAATGCTTTATGTATATTCTACAGGATGTATAAAAAAATGTACACCCTTTCAAATTCAAATTAACCGTAATCTGTTGTAGTAATTTGACAGCCGTATAATTTCTCGAATTAATGAATGCGTGAAAACACAAGATCTGCTGCACATGGGAATTTAGGATAACTATTTGTATGAACAAATACACAACTCAAAGAAAAATGTTTAAAGTATAAAGCAATTATTCAAGTCTGCATAAGATATAAAATGGGCCAGCTTACTGCGGAACAACGAATATTTAAAAGGTTATGGCTAATTTGAATTTGGTGCAATTTTTTTTATACACATTTGGTGTATCAAAAAACCTGCAAACACTATAATTTGCAATTCTGCTGCTCACTAGCATTTCAATGTCTGTGCGACTTATTTTACTCCTGGGATTTGAAAATACATTCTAATTAACCGCGTTGATAACTTGATAGAAATTAGAATAACAATAAGTTATTTGTAATGCAAAAAACTAATTATATCAGTTCGACTGCGAATGGCTCAACTGTGTTTACGCACGCTTGGGATCAATTAGTTCTGAATCATGCAAATTCTAAAAACATTGTAGCCTACATGTACAGGGTGTCCCCCCAAAACGAAAACTATTGAAATCACTTATTGTTAAATTTGAATGCCCTACCAAACAGCTGAACGTAATGATGCGTAAAATATTGACAAGGTGCATGTATTAAAATTTAGTTAAGAACATCTCCTTGTAATTTGCGCGATTTTCTGCTCTTTAGAATTTAAAGCAGCTTCTTAAACAGTTCCTTTATGCATAAAATTTTCTTATGTCAATCATTTATGCACTCGTGGGAACCAACAGAGTGCTAAGGCATTCAAATTCTAACAATCAAATTGTTATTGGTGATTTCAATAGTTTTCGTTTTTATGGGGACACCCTATATTTTAAAAGTTTGCAGGTTTTTTGATACAACCTCAATAAGGGCTTATTGACCATTTGAAAGGAATGTAATCACCTATAAAATTATAGCTCCAATTCCAATCCCGAACAAGTATTTGTTCCCAGATTTGAAAATTATTTTTTGGCACATACTGTTTGGATATACGAGTTAATATTATACCAAGGAGTGCTGGTGTTGTTTGAAAATTATTGCAATTATATTCTGAATTTGATGTATTTTATTAAATCAGTTAATTTATTCGAGATCACATACATATTGTGAGTGTCTATAAGTACTAATTAAAATATGAGCACCTGATCTTTATGGGCATGCATTTATTTGTAAAATGAATTTATTTATTTGCTTTGCTGGTTAATATTACTACTCATGTGGACAATCTCACGCTTCATTAGCATGAATTTAAAATCTGAATTAATACTGATAACTTTCATAAACATCCCTGCTTCTGAATTAATATTCATAACTTTCATAAACACCCCTCTAACTTGATTTACTGATCTTTAATGCAGTCCACAAGTGTGCACATGTGACCTAAATACCGCGTCGTGATTTGTTTGTAGCCTTATTAAATTAATTATTCATGAATTTTACAAAATTACTTAAATTTTCCTTACATATACTCAATAGTTATGATAGAGGTTTAAAATGTTCAGCTGATTTATGCTTTAAAACCTCTTACGAACTTCATTCTTTCATGCATGGTTTCATTCTTTCATGGTATAGGTATTCAATGTACCAATATTGGTATTTTCTTCTGCATGGTGCTATAAGCAAATAATAAAATTTAAATTGTATTATTTGCTTATCTATTTGCCTTCGGGATCTAAAATTTCAAGGATTGGCTTCGTAGTTATCAGTATCAATTAAAATGAATAAGACTATGACTCATTTGATACATCGTTAAAAGTCTAGCCACCGTTGTGGGTTTTAAATCAAATATATATTACTTTTTAACGGTATCAATTAAAATGAATACGATTATGACTCATTTGATACATCGTTGAAAGTCTAGCCGCAACATATACTAGAGATGGCTTTATTGCTATAAAGTCTATAAAGACAATACGAATGTGCTGGCATTTGAAATCCAATTTAATTGATTGTTGACAATTTATATAGTAGGATTAAAATAATTTGTTTTTGAAACACCCTTTTAATTCACTGCCCACATCAGTTTCATAGTGGCGTTGGTTTCAATGGTGGAAAAATCTAGCAGCAATTATATACAAACATAGATTTAATACATGTTGTAATTACCAAGCCCATGGTGGGCATGGGCGTACCGGAAGGAAAAAATTAGGGGGGCGGAAAGAAAATTGCCCGACTTTTCGTAAAATTGCTCGACTTTTCGTGATTTTGCCCGACTACTACCAAAAAATTTTTCCCGGAAAATATTTTTTTGCGGACCCCTCCCCCCGTCGCCAAAAAAATTTCGGTCAGTGTACCATTTAAGGGGTCAAAAAAATTTTCCGGATATCAAAATTTTTCTGAGCATCACATAAGTTTTCAAAAAAAAACACTACATTTTCCACAAAATTTACTAAATTTTCGAAAACAATGACAGAATTTGTCCGATTTTTTTATAACAACCCAAAATTGCCCGACTGTTAATCGAATATTGCCCGACTGCCCAAAAAACCCCCGCCCCCCGCCCGGTACGCCTATGATGGTGGGTGTTGTTGCTATGGCTTTCTTGAGATTTTTTATTTTGGTTTCATCTTATTGTTTTGTGCGATGTTAATTTTAGCGGTAATTTTTTTGTTCGATACAGTAATTAATTATAAGGCCTGCTTTTTATTTGCGCAGTCCAAACCTTGTCATTTCAAAACTATGCTGTAGTTTGCATCATATTTACTTTGAGAGAGGGAATGAAGTAACATGTAATGATTCATGATTTAATGAATAAAGCTTCAATGTTTCATACTCAAACTAAACTGTCTTAAAGATTGAAAGCTAATTCGCTTTTTCGGTCTAGATTGAAATTTTAGTGTCTGATATTTTAGATCTATCATAAAGGAAGCCAAACTACCGAGGACCCACTCAGAACACTTAGAGAATGCTTTATATAAATATGAAGATTTAGATCCGAAAGGAAATTAATACCGGCCAGCATTCGTTCGTAAATCCAAGTTCCTATATATATGTTTATTATACTGTGATCAACATACAATAGATTGTCGAATGCAAAAATACCTCGGGTAACACGGAAGACAGCGGCTTCTTCAATCTTCGGAATAAAAATAGATTACTTATTATCACATGAAATTCATTTATTCGCAACTTGCATGCATATAAACTTGTCCATTACATCTTTACGTCTTCTTAAGCCTGTTGTAGACCAACATTCAAGTTTTGTATGACAAGTTTTCATTTATTTGCTCGGCAAGCATAGGCCTACATTTCTTCAAAAGCTGGTATGCTAGCTTTTGAACAAGTGCACTTGTCATAGGAAAAATGGAAAAAAGTAGACATTTTCTTCGTCTGTATGGGTCAACAAAGAAAATTTGGCAAACTGAGTAATCTGAGCATGCACTTATATGCGGTTGGTCAGCGATCTATGGTTGTAATAGCTAATAATAGCTATCGTAGCTATCGAAAACCAAAAAGTTGTCATAGAAAATTTGTTGTACGTACACACGTACAATTGCATGGGAAATAAAACTTCCAATATGATTACTTGTTATAGAAAACTTGCTCGTTTGTAACCGGCTTTATAATAATAACCGTAATGTATTTGTATAGGTGATAGTATGGTCTCGAGTGCAATTTGGAAAAAAAACATGCACGAGTGAGGTTATTAATAACACGCATGAAAAAAATATGCAGAAGCAAATTCATTGTCACTGGCGTGCATAAAACACATGCGATTTACTCACTCATTTGAATGGCCCAACAGCTTATTACAAGTCTGTAACTGTGAGCAGTCAAAACTGAAATCAAGCACTATATTCGATTTTGTGGCACTGTTCCGCATTTTTTGCACATATGTCGAGTTCCGAATTTAAACTCAGAGTTCGTTTTAGTGTTAGGGTATATATAGGGGTTGAGTTAGAGTTAGAGTTAGAGTTAGAGTTGGGGTTAGATGTTAGGGTAAGGTTTGGCACATAAGCCTTAGGATTGTTACAAGGGCGTGGTTGTGATCTTCTTACGTTTCAACGATTTTGGAAACAAGCCTCTTGTCCGTCCATTCAACACTGTACATTCTTTATTGCTATAGTGTTTCCATCTGTATGGTAGAGTTAAACTAGAAGCACACTTCTTACATGCAAGTGAAACGAAATTGTAATCGGGCAACTGCATGTTGCAAGGGTGTAGTGGAAGGGGACTCAGTGGGCTGAGCCCTCTTGTTCAATAAATTTCCTTTCAGTTTAGGGAAGGGGCTGAGACTCCCTTAAGATTTTTTGTGAAGGATGAATGAATCTTTCATCATCATCATATGACAGATTTTTGCTAATTGAATAAGATTTTGCATTATTGTAAAATTAAAGCGCACCTATTCCAATATATTTCTATTCAATTCTTAAAGTCACACCAATAATGCTATATTTCCTTACATTCAGGATGTTATTCTGACTAATTAACCTGGAGTGATTGTATTTTATTGTTTTTATATGATAAAACTATATAAATGTAACCCCCCCCCCGTTTATTAAATTGAAAGGGCTGAACTGTGATTTAACATTTCCTAACTTAACCTTTTAGGTCAAAGGCAGAGTTGGCGTTTACAAATTCCTACATTTACCGTATGATCCTATCGGTCTGGAAGAATGTAACCCAAAACAAGAATTTTACTTTGATGAAAACTGTGTAAGTCCTTCGTACGAGGAAACGACACATGATGACGAAGCGGTCAGTCCTTAACACGTCCTACCGAGGTCCCACTGTGCGAAAGGTGTGTTAATTTCATGTTCAAAGGCACATAAATGATAAGTTTATGAACTGCAGGTTTGCTGTGTGGAGGGCGATTGAGTGGAAATATAACAGCTATATATAATATAAGCGGCATTGATCTCAAAACTAGCACTGATTTCTAATGTAATTTGAAAGGTATATCTTGTCACATCTCTTTTCATGAATTTTAGAACGTTTTAAGGGAAAGCTATTATTGTTCTGGAAGAGGAGATTAGAAATCCGTAAAACATTGTCGGCAAGAACAAAAAGTCCAAATAAATTGTTTGCACATTGTTTGCATAAATTGTATGAAAAGCCAAAAAACGTTTGCAAACCTAATGAGCTGTTATTAGTTGGACAAAATATTTAGTTATTAGTTATTAGTTGGACAAAATATTATTAGTTAGGCAGTAAAAATTGCTTGTATTGAAGAAATATTCATCCTCTCTCCAAAAAATAATGCTCCCTAAGCCATGCGCTCGTTAATAGAACTTGGGGCGGCCATATTGGATTGACCTCATCAGTTATTCACTGGCAAATTTAGGAAGAGAGGCCATATTGATGACTAAAGTCTCTTCAGACAATATATATATATATATATTCCCGTTCCCATCAATAATAACCAGAAATTGAGCCCAAACATGTCAGCAGCGCCACAGAATTCGAAATTTATAATGGTCCTATCAACATGGCTGCTATCGCCATCGTTTTTATTCATGCATAGCGAATGCACTATGATATCCAGTCCTAGTTTTGAGATCGGTGCACAAGCAGTTGTCCAGTCTTGAGATCAGTGACACATATTTATAATTCAAAATGGTTGCTCGAACTGTTTTTAACAGCAGACCCGGGTTTGGTATTGCAATGCCCAAAGGAAAGAAATCTTAACGAAAATTCACAATTTGTACAAAGATTGATAAAGATGATAATGTTCACATGAAAACTGGAGTGATATAAAAGTAAAGTTGTGAAAAGAAAAAAAAAGAAAAGAAAAATAAAAATCCTTCATTCTAGTGTATTAATTGTTTTGGAAACGAACCATCCATGTATTATTATACTGTGGGTCATTGCTATTAAATTGGAATTATTTATCAACAACGTCGTCATCAGTGTCTGTAATAACTTTTCCACAATTAAATTTTTCAACATAGCGGCTATGTGTAGCTCGATGTGTAGCAGCTAAAAAGATCCTACATCTCCTATCCTAACCAACCCAATCCATGCATGTTGTAAAACACGAAAATCGTACGAAGTTGGTGAGTTGGTCTATTACGGACACCAACACATTTTGGTCTAGCTAACGTAGGAAGCCAGATTAAAATGCTACAGCAATAGTCTAATACACAGTTGCGTGATTTTAATTTTTCGCCAGCGAGAAGAGACTGAACGCGCTCCCAGTTTTGGCCAAACAAACACCACTGGTTTTTCCAGGTGTTCCTGTCTCCTGCATAATCTGTTGGGGAAACAGTCTTGAATATAATTGGTTCAAAACAGCTATTCAGTATAAATAAAGGCAGCTCATGCAGCTTAGTTCAGTGGTTGAAATTTTTCCCAAGCCCCACTCCTGATTTATCTGGAGTACAATCAACCAATCAGAATTAATAATTTTGTTTTGTAAATAAATAAAGTTACATTATTGCTTTAGGAGAGCTGTGGATTGGGAAAGATACAACTACCTGAAAAATACATTTTAAAGCAGAAGTTCGAAGTTTTCAGCGAAGGCCTTTGTTGGGAAGCCGGTTACGTCAAGGCAATTGCTAGATAGTATACTTCAAAATAAGGTTTCCGTTTTTATATCATTTTTTAAAATAAGTTAGGGTTAGGTTAGGGTTTGGGTTAGCGTTAGGGTTAGTATTAAGGTTAGTATTAGGGTTAGGGTTTAGTTTTGCGTTAGGATAGTTTTTTCTACGTTATAAAAACGGAAACCTTATTTTGAAGTATACTTTCTAGCAATCACCGTTACTTATTGGGCTACAGTGTAGCGTAGTAGCCACCATCCTCGTCCCCAAGGCCTCTCGGCCGCGTGCGTCCTCCCTAGCCCCTGGGACACACAGAACAAGAAGTGCAAGAAAACTTGCATGCCCTTGAATTGGAACGCTTTAGCACCCGTAACAATTTTCACAGTGAAGTATTTACGAAGAAACGAAATATTTGTGTTGACTTATGTTGATGGAATAATTTTGTTTAGCGAAAACTGCTCAAATTCTCAGTGCGAAATAGCTGTTCTCTGAGAAGCCAATCAGATCTCTCCCTTTAGTCGTCTAAGCCAGAGCCTAATTTTCAACGAGTGACAGAGTGAAAATGGCTCTGGGGACGAGAAACTTCCCGATGCTCAACATCGTACCCAGGGCTTTTGCGCTTATTCCTTGGGTACGATGTTCCCGACGCTCTAAACGAAAGGCCGTCGTTCTAAACGTCGAAGATCTGCTTGTATTTTTCAAGTAGTTGTATCTTTCTCAATCCACAGCTGTCTTGTTACCGTAGCTACCTACACTGGCACAGACATTTCGAGATTATTACAGCTTTAGCCTTTTGTATATTTAAAGCAATGAAACAATTAACTTCATGGCCAATATCTACAGCTAAACATGACCCGCCATTGATATTGTCAATTAAATGGGGCGTCACTTTCGGTTTGAAAGGCAACAAAAATATCTTTGTCCAAAATTATTTCAGGAAAACATTGATTTGATAGCATCATGTGAATGCAAGCCACGCCGATATGTATATACACTATACTGAAATTAATAGTATAGGAAGAAATTGATTTGATAGTACGCTGTTCATGTATTATACTATAAATAAAGAGATAATTTCGGCACCTTGAAAGGCATTTGCAACAAAAGCCAGTATCACTGTCTATACAGGAGATTCTATCGAGTGGGTTATTTATCAAAAACAACTTTTATATGACAAAGAATACTTTCATTTCCAACAGCCAATTTTCCAATCTTTCGCACTGTCATTGTAAAACTATATATGGTTTGACTAACACTTGAGAAGAGGGTTTCATAATTAATTAAAATGTTGACATTGCATATGCTGAGTATAAGTAGTTATTATTATAGTATCAAAACCCAAATATGAATTATTATAAATGGTCTTTGTTTCGATGGATTCCATCTTATTTTAAGCATGATTAAGGTTTGAAACCTCAATTAATCATGGACGAGTGTGTCCACACCAGGAAAGCTAAAAAGGTTTTGCTTGTCCCTAATATCTTTCCACCGCAGTCAAGCCAACTTTTTAGCTTTCCTGGTGTGGAAACACTCGTCCATGATTCAACTTAGGATTCAATGATTCATTCAAGGATTCAATGATCCAATCTTAGGATTCAATTATTCAATCTTAGGATTCAATGATTCAATCTTAGGACTCAATAACTCAATGAAGAATTCAATGATTCAATCTTAGGATATTCAATCTTAGGATTCAACGATTCAATCTAGGATTCAATTATTCAATCTCAGGATTCAGTGATTCAATGTTATGATTTAATGGTTCAATCTTAGGATTCAATTATTCAATCTACGATTCAATTATACAATCTTAGGATTCAATTCTTCAATCTTAGGATTCAATTCTTCAATCTTAGGATTCAATGATTCATTCTTAGGATTCAATGATTCAATCTTAGGATTCGATGATTCATTCTTAGGACTCAATAACTCAATGAAGAATTCAATGATTCAATCTTAGGATATTCAATCTTAGGATTCAACGATTCAATCTAGGATTCAGTTATTCAATCTTAGGATTCAGTGATTCAATGTTATGATTTAATGGTTCAATCTTAGGATTTAATGATTCAATCTACGATTCAATGATTCAATCTTAGGATTCAATGATTCAATCTTAGGATTCAATGATTCAATCTTAGGATTCAATGATTCAATATTAGGATTCAATGATTCAATGGAGGATTCAATTATTCAATCTTAGGATATTCAATGTTAGGATTCGGTGATTCAATCTAGAATTCAATTATTCAATCTTAGGATTCAATGATTCAATGTTATGATTCAATGATTCAATCTTAGGATTCAATGATTCAATCTATGATTCAATGATTCAATCTTAGCATTCAATTATTCAATCTTAGCATTCAATGATTCAATGAAGGATTCAATCTTAGGATATTCAATGTTAGGATTCGGTGATTCAATCTAGGATTCAATTATTCAATCTTAGGATTCAATGATTCAATGTTATGATTCAATGGTTCAATCTTAGGATTCAATTATTCAATCTTAGGATTCAATGATTCAATCTAGGATTCAATGATTCAATCTTAGCATTCAATTATTCAATCTTAGGATTCAATGATTCAATCTTAGGATTCAATGATTCAATCTTAGCATTCAAAATGATTCAATCTTAGGATTCAATGATTCAATCTTAGGATTCAATGATTCAATGTTATGATTCAATGATTCAATGTTATGATTAAATGATTCAATCTTAGGATTCAATTATTTAATCAAGGATTCAATGATTCAATCGTAGGGTTCACTGATTCAATCTGAGGATTCAACGATTCATTCTTAGGATTCAATGATTCAATCTTAGGATTCAATGATTCAATCTTAGCATTCAAAATGATTCAATCTTAGGATTCAATTATTCAATCTTAGGATTCAATGATTCAATGTTATGATTCAATGATTCAATCTTAGGATTCAATTATTTAATCAAGGATTCAATGATTCAATCGTAGGGTTCACTGATTCAATCTGAGGATTCAACGATTCATTCTTAGGATTCAATGATTCAATCTTAGGATTCAATGATTCAATCTTAGCATTCAAAATGATTCAATCTTAGGATTCAATTATTCAATCTTAGGATTCAATGATTCAATGTTATGATTCAATGATTCAATCTTAGGATTCAATTATTTAATCAAGGATTCAATGATTCAATCGTAGGGTTCACTGATTCAATCTGAGGATTCAACGATTCATTCTTAGGATTCAATGATTCAATCTTAGGATTCAATGATTCAATCTTAGCATTCAAAATGATTCAATCTTAGGATTCAATTATTCAATCTTAGGATTCAATGATTCAATGTTATGATTCAATGATTCAATCTTAGGATTCAATTATTTAATCAAGGATTCAATGATTCAATCGTAGGGTTCACTGATTCAATCTGAGGATTCAACGATTCATTCTTAGGATTCAATGATTCAATCTTAGGATTCAATGATTCAATCTTAGCATTCAAAATGATTCAATCTTAGGATTCAATTATTCAATCTTAGGATTCAATGATTCAATGTTATGATTCAATAATTCAATCGTCTTAGGATTCAATTATTTAATCAAGGATTCAATGATTCAATCGTAGGGTTCACTGATTCAATCTGAGGATTCAATGATTCATTCTTAGGATTCAATGATTCAATCTTAGGATTCAATAATTCAATCTTAGGATTCAATGATTCAATCTTAGGATTCAATGATTCAATATTAGGATTCAATGATTCAATCTTAGCATTCAAAATGATTCAATCTTAGCATTCAATTATTCAATCTTAGGATTCAATGATTCAATGTTATGATTCAATGATTCAATCTTAGGATTCAATGATTTAATCAAGGATTCGATGATTCAATCTTAGGGTTCACTGATTCAATCTGAGGATTCGATGATTCATTCTTAGGATTCATTGATTCAATCTTAGGATTCAATGATTCAATCTTAGGATATCATGCAGTATCTTAGGATATCATATGGTATCTTAGGATATCATACAATATCTTAGAATATCATGCAATATCTTAGGATATATCACACAATGTCTTAGGATATCATACAATATCCTAGGATATCATGCAGTATCTTAGGGTATCATACAATATCTTAGGGTATCATGCAATATCTTAGGATATCATTCAGTATCTTAGGATATGATCCAGTATATCTTACGATATCATACAATATATTAGGTTATCATGCGATATATTAGGATATCATATATGGTATCTTAGGATATCATACAGTATCTTAGATAGTGAAAAGTCTCAAGAAAATGACTTCATATATTAGAAGCATAGAAAAAACCTTCAAAATACCTGTGGGGATCTCTTCTGAGCGAAGATACGGCTAAGATTATATACTGCTAGCTACTAATTTCGATAAAAAAGTTTGCCATGTGAGGGACTTGATCGAACCTCCTTATCTTGGGACTTTTACCGCCCAACCATACCATTCGGCCACCAAGGCACTACAATTTGCTTGACATAAAAATCAAATAAATTATGCTCACCCCAAACACGTAAAGGTATGATATCCCTATCTGTGCAAATCTCTGTTCGCCTAATCCCTTTAAAACCTTAACCTTAGTCCACTTGTCGCCTAATGACTTAGCAACACACACAACACAGTATTTCGTGAAAATACATTATTATTTTAAGCCAAAAATATTACAACTAAAATTGTTAAATTGCTCTACAAGCACATCATAAACTCGATCACCGATTGAGCCATTTTAAAAACAGTGAAATTAAATGCAATCCATGCGAATCTATTGTGACGTATGTAACGCGACTGAGTTATGTGACCTGCAACGTGACCATGTAATGCAACCTAATGGTAACGCGATTTGGTAACGCAACCCAAGGTGACGTATGGTAACGTCACTGAGTTCTGTGACCGGTAACGTAACCATGTAACGCAACCTATTGGTAACGCAACTTGATAACGCGACGCTATTGTGACGGCATCGGCGGCATTCCTTTTGTCTCCAAACAGGGGGTATCATTAGTGTCAGCAATACCACGATAGATTACCATTTCAGAGCAGTGCCTGTGCACCCACCCATTCCTTGGCAGTTTCGCTGGGATGTTACATAAGTGAATTAGATTGGGAATCCGGAAGCTTTACAGGTTTTGAAAGATGTCATATCAATCAAAAACTCGAATATGCCAAATATATACGTCGGAAACAGATAAACGTTTGCAAATAACTATCTTGTAATATAGTTGTAGAATATATAGAGACAATGGGAGCAAAGATATGTTTTATTGAGTGCTGACTCAGACGTAGCCCGCATGCAGGCCCACCGAGGGATTAATAGTGGGCCTGCAAGGAAGACCGGGTATTTTGTAGAACGCCCCTTTTCATAACAAGCCCCATTCGCGCTTCAATTGTCAAGAAAGAACCAATGACAGCAACCCAAATAGTAAACAAACTCGCATTGTTGCGGGCTTTTCTCTGCGTATTCAGAATAGGAACAATGTGTAAATGGCTAGCAAACCAGCCAGCTTCTAATAATTCTTAAATTTGCAACTGCTCATCTTCAGTTAAATTCGGAACAGGCAAATTAGGACGAATTTCAACAGAAAACCTGTCTCAAACTTCAAATCGTGAGGGAACTCAGGGAAGTCGTGTGACTGCATTAGCATTAATTTGTGCTTCTATCGCCATTGTTATAAATAAATTGTCTCACTTATCAGATCGTGTGTGCAATTCTTGTGGGCGGAAAGTACGACATTTATTTCAGTTATTCAATTTGGTACAGAACTCGACAAAAGAAGAGAGCGTTTAGAGTCCAGATCGT